CGGAGTACAAATACATTTTGACACTTTAGTTTGGCAGAAAGCAAATTTAATTTGATGTTTCTTTGTTAATATGATTTGTTTACCTCTGGATGTACCGAGCAACATTAGAGGGTAAGCGTGGTATTCAGAGCCTTAAGCCAGAGTTTTAAATGTCACAAAGCTGTCTCTCATTTAACATTCATTATTTTCCATACAAAATTCCATGGCGGAGATATATATATTCTGAGATTTAAAAACATATAAATTGTTTTTTTAATCCTGCCAGAGCTGTTTAGTTATACAGCATATCATTGATACTGTGAGAGGATGATCGTCCATGCAGTTAAGTCATGATAGGTGGGCTGCACCTACAGACACTGTGGTTTTTAGGGCCTTGTTTTATTCTTTCAAGTTTTTCTCACACGGCTGGTTTTGCAACGACAACGCAGCCAGATAATAAAATTAAAGTAGGTTATTTATCACAGATTGTATGCAGTATCTCAGATTATATAAATCCATAGAGTGATACTTTACTTTGAGTGACAGAAGTGAAATTCAGCTTTTCTTTTAATAACTGACAGTAATTAATTTTCTTACACAACTCATATCTGTTACACCTATTCAGACATGACAACTGGCTCTATAGTTGATGGATGCTGTTGAAAGACAGCTACATTATCAACCAGTTTGTCTTCTTTGAGCTTTAAAGCAACAACTTAGTTGTTGTCTCTTGAAGTATTCAATACCCTCAAGGAAGCGTGTCTTCACTCCAGTCCACATAATATACATCAACGATTGTTCATTACCCTAAATGTCACCTCCAACAGAACCGAGAAGCCAGCAGAGTCCCTGGTGGCTCTCAGCTAAGAACTCATCATCAGAGGTGGTTTCAATCACGAAAGATGTTTGCATTAATGAAGAAGCCATTGCAGGTTGCTAGGCAACTCTGTCAGCATTGCTCTGGTGAGTCAAGGAGCACTGGCTGCGGGGATTCAGACATGGATGTTTTTTTAGCATGGGGGAGAAATGTGTGATATAACAGTGTGTGTCTGGCTCACTGGTTTGTTGCAGATTGTGGTGGGGTGCTAATGGAGGTGGAGATCAGGTTCCAAAGTCATTAACTCCTAGCTAACACCTCCTTTATGAATCGTTAAATGAACAACTTTATTCTTAACGATCTTAACCCTCTTCACTCTCTTTTGTTACCAATACAAAAAAGACTTTCCCATTTTTCTTTGCCCCCATTTGCTCTACATTATGTAGTGTGTACAGGATGCAGCGTTTTATAACTGAAGGTTATTGTAAAAAAACGGTGCGAGTTGTTCTACATCACTAGTTTTGTATGCTTATGAAATAATCACGTCTCAAATAATGCAGCAGAATACAACATATTAAATTTCAATTGTAATTTTTGCCCATGAGTGCAGGATGAGTCATCAGACATCTGAAATACAAAATAAGGTATTTTGATGTAAATATAACCAGATAATACTTTATATAAATATATTTGGCAGATAATAGAAGATAAATGAACATTTAACAGGGTAATGCTAGACTAAAACCAGGAAATGTTATTTTTCATTTCCTGGGTACTTAGAAAACACTTCATAACAAGCAAACATTGAAATTAGTGAAAACATCTGCCTCTTATTTTACTTCCCTTAATGTTTATCCCTTGCATACATTACTCAAGGCACATCTTCAGGATCTCAGTCCCTGCTGTTACACCGTGTCCTAAGAGCATTCGAGCGTTGGATATCGTGTTGCATCGTGCACAATGGGACACTCTCTGACACAATGCATCACTCGACGGTATACTTCTTTGCTCTGTGAATTTCAGTTTCCCCTTACAAACGTTATTACCGTACGTGGTGCTTTTGTATTGATTTTCGCGATGAGCTGAATTTCTCCAGTGTAAACAAAAGTCAAAACACAACATTTCAATCATGGATGCAACACTATCTCTTAGGCTTTAGGCTTTTTTGCCTTTAATGCAGAGATAGGACAGTGGATAGAGTCGGAAACCAGGGAGAGAGAGTGGGGAACGACATGCGGGAAGGAGGTCACGGGCGGGATGCGAGCCCGGGCGCCGCGTGAGACGATAGCCTCAATACATGGGGCGCGCCCTAACCATTGCACCACCAGCACGCCCCATCTCTCTTTTTTTTTTAAGTCACCTTTATTTATATAGCACATTTTTTAAAGCTAACATACTAACAACTCTGTTTAGTTAGAAAAAGTGAAAGGAAATCAGAAGTTTCCTGCTATACATACTAGTGCCTTGTAGAGTCCCCTCCTCACTCATCCCTCGTTCTTGACTATGCGAGCAATAGTAATGACAATAGATACAGAGGTAAAACCGCCTCGTTGCACTTTTTCGCCATGTGTCACTTGCATATTGTTAGGACACCTTATAACTTAAATAGAAAACAATGAAATCAAGCTGGTTTTGTTGCCGATGCTTGCTTGCACCGCATGGTGTTAAGACACAGTGTTAAAAATGTTTTTTTTTCTGCATGAGTACCAAACTATTTTCCTCCTTTTTTTTTTTTCCTTCTGTGGTGCCTCTTCCTGTTGATAGTGTCAGAAAGAGAAAGTCTTGGGAGTCCTTGACTGAGCGGGAGTCCATCTGGAATGTTTGACAACAGAAGCCTGAACACATGCTGTTTCACCTTCACTGACCTCTTAATCCTACGTATGCATGCCAATTCATGGGAGTTTTTTCAAGCCAAGTCTTCCCATATGTTTTCTGTAGACAGAAATGTACTATCTTTTGAGTTCCCAGCTGTTGGCTCCTTCAGTCCAAATGGTCTTTTGTGCTTAATACATGAAGATTGAGTTATAATATCTAACTGGTGTCTCAGTATTGCATATTGTGTTCCTCCAGCAGCCAGAAATGTCAAAGATATTAAACTCATTGTCATGAGCAGCAAAATGTATTTTGAATGCTTCATTAAGCAAATGATTTATATTTTTACAAGTTATTGACTACATTGATAAATCACAGTAGTGATGAATTGAACAACCATTGGAAAGTTTTTGTATTAATTCCAATGGATGCATTTGGGATATTTGTGTCAACTCAATGTATTTTTTTGCAAATCAATTACTCTTACAAATACAAGCCGTGCATTTTGACATCTTTACAGAAACCATCCATACTTTTCTATCATCACTTGAAGCCTACCTCATGCCTTTGTATGTGGTGACAAACGTCCTGATAGGTGGAAAACTGATCACTTTGTGATTACTGGTAGCGATGCTATCTTTACTCCTTTCCTGCAGACGAAGCTCTTTGTCAGAGATGCTGTCTCCACACTTAGAGTGTAGTTCAATAAAAGCTCTTGTTTGAGTCCTCTAGAAAGTTGCCCTGTGGAGTTGCCATCAATTGTTAGACAGGCTGACCCATTGTATGTATGTAATCACAAGGACCACTGCTCTGTATCCTACTATCACAGTTGATACAGTGGGAGGCAGAAAAATACACATACATGGCTTGTAGATGTTTGTTGCTAAGATTGTTTTTGATTTATAGGATAGAGCTTGTAAGAATGTCTAGATCATTAATAGTGTTCGTTAAAACATTGAATCTCGATAGTCCAAATTATTAACAACAAAAAGCAAATATGACAGGAAAAACCGTTTTAGTCTGGTGGTTTAGAAAATGTTTCAGACGTGTTAGCGATCAGCGTTTCTTTTCTTCAACGTTTTTGGGTTATGAAATTATTTTTTTGTATTACACGAGTGCTAAACAAAACTGACTGGCCGGGTAGGGTAGCTGGAGTCTGTTTTAATCACAGCAGCATGTGAGGATAAAAATAAATCATGCTGAGAGCTTGAAGCAGGAAAGCACGAAAAACTCAAATAGAAAAAAAAATTGCTGTTGAAAAATTTCAAACAAGACATTAATGTGCTTGAAGCCAATGTTAGGGCATAATATGTTTACATTATAGGCTGATATGTCACTTAACATGTCACATGTCATCAGTGAAACCTGATGGTTATGTAGAATGAGACCCTCATTCAGTGAAGCCAGCTTTATTTACGCGTGTGTGTGTGTGTGTGTGTGTCACACCCCCTGGCTCTCTGAGCAGACACCCATGTCTGTTGGCCTCCAGCAGACCTAGAGGACAGCTGCTTACAGCTCGGTTTAAGATTGTACGGGTTGCCGAATGTGCAATTATTATTTTGCAAAGTCCTCAAGGGGATTATGGGTAGATTGGTAGATACTAGGGGTGCAATGTTTTGCAGAGGTCATGGACTGGTATGTAGCACGGTCAAGTTCTTAAAAAAAGAGGCAACAAAAAGTCCCAGATGCATAATTATATGTTTCTGTAATTTATTTTGAACTGACAACACTGCAGGTTACAGTTTGTTTCATCTATTGTCCTTAAAATGTATCTGTGATAGTCAGTGCAGCCTGTAGTGTGTTAAACAAAACAAAAAATAACAGAAAGCATAATAAATAAAGACAATTATGAACAATAATAAGTAACATAGAAATGAATAACCTGACTTGAAAATATAAAATAAATACAATGGTCAGTAGAAGACAAAATTAGATACATGTCGCTGCATCATATTTATAATTCATGATTTGTGCAGTCACATAGCTTGGACATGTTTTGGATGTCATATCACTCTTTTCTGTGTGTTTTGTTGTGTGTGCTTCTTAGTTTTTTTGTCTACTAGTAGATAATGTTGTGTGTCATTGCCTTTTTTCTCCACTCAGACATATTCTTTGTTCGTCTGGATGCAAAAACTGTGACGTCTGAAACATGACAGTACAGGTTGATTACAAATACCTTTACAGCCCTAGGGGGAGGGGTGTGTATTTCGAAAAGCTAAGCGGACTAGCAACAGAATTAGCGCCAATTATTTATTGGCTTTTGTATGTTACCTATTTTCCCATCATGTTTCTGCAATCTCTTAATCTAATGTATTTATTTGTTTTCACCCATCAGTATTACCAATCACTGCTTGCCTAACTGCCTTTTTGTTTTTGTTTTTTTAATTCTCAGGTGTGTACACCATGACGTCTAAACCTCACCCTCCTCTGATGAAGAAGCACAGTCAGACAGACCTGATAAGTCGTCTGAAGAGCCGGAAGATCCTTGGAGTCGGCGGTGAGGATGATGATGGCGAAGTGCACCGCTCAAAGGTCAGATGCTTAACATGATTTTATACTCTTGTCATTCATAATTATTACGGGCAGTATTGCAGGCAACAAAGTCAAGTAGCATGTACATTAGCACAACAACAGTTAAACTCTCATCATCAGTGAAATAGATAACAATGCTGCAAGGTATTAGCAGAAATGGCATTTAACCACCACTGCATTCATTAACCCCGTGAAGAGCTATGGATTCCTTTTAAAAGCCACAACAGGCCCCGTAATAAGCTCATCACTCTTGCAACATTTCCATTGTGTGCATTTGCTCCTTCTGCTTCGGTGAATCTAGATCACATAATCTCATGAGCTCCCAAAGCTCCACAGAGATGCAGCTGGCTCCCCTGGGAGAGACTCCCTGCCTCTTGTGTTCTCTCCCTTCCTCACATGTATTTTCACATTCATATAGGCTGTGAATCATGGTGTGTAAACCAAAAACACAACCGACAAATGCTAGTTCATGCCACAAAACAAAAAACAAACCACTTCTCATACTCATGCTTGTTGATGCACAGTTGCAGACTGGCAGTAAATAATTACTTCTTTTCCGAGGGCTCAAATATCAGGATTCAGATGATTTCCCCCTTATCAGATTGCTTTAAATGATCATAGAAGAGCACGCTGTGCCTCACTGAAATATTAATAAGGCATGTGTGTGGGAGAAGGGAACAGAAGGGTGCTGGCTTACGGTGGTGGCTGATAGTTTGTTATGAGCTGCCGGCCCCCTTTTCTCAACCCTTCTTAGTGTTTGTTTTCTCTCCCAATGTTTTAGCAAGGAGCCCCAACCCAGACATCTGCCACTCTGTCCCTTTCAAGAAGCATACTTGTGAATACTTCATAACAAGAAATGTTTAATGCCTTCCCATTACTGCAGATAAAGTTTGTGTAATAGAAATTAGATACAGTTTGTAAAGACTGAGTGGGATACAGAAATGGGCAACAGGCCTTCAGAACAACACAGTGCTTTGGCTAATGTAGTGTTGGTAGGGCTGCACATTCAATCCTAGTTTCAACTTTATAGGATTTATATTTTACTAGTAAAAATGAAGCAATATTGATACCTGTTTTGTTAGCCTGACAACAAAAATAGAAACCCAAGACACCTACAGTATATTGGGTGATTTCTTGTTTTTAATTACCAAAAGTTTCAAGTTTACTCTTGCGCTCTTTCTCTCTCCTTCGCTCGAGGCTGTTGGTAAAAAATCTGACGAAAGATTGGAAGTGTTTTGAAAAGCTTTGGTAATGTGTGATATTATTGATTATTAATAATAATAACAAACTTATCATTTCAAAACATGGGGTGTAGAAAAGTAGCTAAGTATCAAAAAGTTTGACAAACCTAATTGCACTTTGAGCGTTCATCATCAACACCTAGTGAAATTTGGATTTATCACAGTAAATGTGTGTAAATTAACTTTTTTCACAAAAAGGAAACATACCAGTGTTTCCCCTACCATTCTATTAGGGGGGCGGCCCCTAATCATTTAAGGATACCTTTCTGATAGAAAAGGACAGCTGTCATTAAAAGTAACCCATGAACACTAACATTCCTTCAAGTGTGTGTGTCGGCGTGTCACAAGATGACATTATGGCATTAAAAATATGGCAGTAGCCATTAATGGGAGCTTCAGCCTTGGCAAATGGTGGACGGCCGCTTAGACATAAACATTTGCCAGGCATTGTGGGCATGAATTTGTCGAAATATTAGTTTGACTGACTAGGTATTCTGGTGCCAATTAGCATTATCGACAACTTCAGTTGTAAAGTTGGCCAATTGCACACATCCCTATTAGAGACTCGGAGTTCTAGCTAATAGGGACTCTTGAATATTTGTTTTTTTTATGGAACAAAGCAATTGCAGCTTTCATATTTTTTTTTAGGCTTGGTCTATTGAATGTGTTGTTCGAATTGTACGCTTCCATAGTCAGCTGTGGCATTGGTCCAAATTTAGAAATTAAGTATTGCTCTCACAATGTAATTGTTCCCTTCTTTAGCTGGATTGTGCTGTTATCCTTGAGCTGTTCCATTTATCCTTACCACAAGTGTTTGTGGTAAAGACTCCCATGGGAGCTAAGGTTAGCTGCACAGCACGAGTTGGTTTGGAGGGGAAACAGTTGGCTTTATTCCCGTGGTCGCTGTAAACAAAGGAGGGAAGTGCTCCTGTGGACTGTCTCTTCCTGCCTTTTTTTTGACTGCTTGGAGATAAGAATACTGTTCCTATTAATTAAGGTCATGTAGCAACAAGTAAGCTCTGAAAGCACAATTTCAAGACTGCATGAACAAGAGGATGAATGAAGTGTTCAGCCCCATCTGTCTTATGGGACTTCACAAATTGGCATTATACATCGATATCCATCAGATAGAAAAGAAACATATTCAAGTATCACATTTTAGGTTTGCAGATAATAGACTCTTCTCCTGTATATTTTTCATTTCCTCTGGCTGAAAAGTTGCCCTTTGTTTTACCTTTGTTACTGTATGTCGTTGACTGACTGACTGATGACAAGGTGAGGCTGTAGGAGGGGGTATTAAGAGTCTGCAGTGAACAACATTGTTGTTTTTTTCCTTTTCCTGTTTCACCCTCCATCCACGGCTGCCTTCCGTTCTGCTCAAATTCTAGGCCAGTCCTCAGCCATCAGTTTGACGTTTGGTTCCCTTTGAGTATTTCTCATGCTCGTCATGAATATTTATGTGTTCCTGTCGAAAAACAGCCCCTGAAACCAAAGGCACAGGAAGGCTGATTCACCTGAACATTTGATCACAGCTGGCACAGACGGTTTCATTTACAGCCACATCAGCCTCTCTTCAAAGAGAGATGTAATGGGTCTAGTCTGCAACTCTTAATCTTAACGTTTTCAGGACATTAACTTCAAGGACTTATTTTTTAAGATTGTCATTTTGCAGTTAAAGAAGGGCCACTTAGTAATAAGTTATCATATTCAACCTTTTTATATATTACCTTATGTCATAAAGAGACCTTATTTTTCAATTCCATTATTTGATTGACATTGTTTTTTTAAGTGTTACAGCTCCAGTGCTCTTTCGATATTGAAGATACAATATGCTGAATTTTTACACTAACATATCTAAATTAATTAAACATTGACTAAACCTATGCGATATATTTGTTTGTAGTCGAGTTCATACACTACCTCAAATATTTACAACATTTATGAAAGCCAGAGAAATCCTTAATTTTATAGTACTAACGACATGTTTATCGTTGCTGTGGAAACACCAAATGTTCGCTACATAAGGAAGTGGGAACTGCTACTGAAAGCTGCCACACTGTTGCTGTATGTGCTGCTGTGATAAAACACCTCATGTAAATTATACTTAGACACATTAACTCAGTGGTAAATGTTTTCTCTTCCTCATGACTGTCTTGCCCGTTCGTCTTGACTACCGTCAACTCAACAGCGGTGGGGGATGGAGTAGTAATTACTCCCTTGATTCCCTGCAAGCCTCAACATCATCTTTTGTTATTGTTTTGATTGAGAGGCCCTGGCGGCGGAATATACAAACAAACATTTTAATATTTGGAAATACTCAAAGGCAGAACAATTGAAAACCCTTGTTTTGATATTTATTATACATCGCATGAAATAATTTAGTTTCTGTCAGTTTGACGATCCACTGTCTCACTCAGCAAACCAATTTTTTTTCAAGTTGTAGTGAATTCCTTGGAAAGGGTGCTTGTGAGAAAGTAATTCATTTTCTCTGCCTTAATGGTTTCATGCATCAGTGTTTATTTAGTTTCAGTAATAATAGTTCTTACTGCAGCACAACAACAGTATTTTATCTTCGAGATGTTGACTAATGAATGGGACTCATTGATTTTAAGGGAGTTGGAGGACTTGTAGGCTTTGGGTGAGGAATAACATGTCCTTTCTTTTCATTTATCCGTGGGTTATTGTCAGCTCATGCAGAAAAACACTTGTGTTATTGTTCTCTGTGTGGTTTGTACTGGACGCTTTATATCCCCCTAGTACCTGTGTGTATTAAATAGTTTTAAAAGCAAAGTATGAATCTGATTTTGTCACTATATGGCAAATTTATAATACCCAACATCCCCATATATTTTTATAATGTGTGTGTATTTATAAATATACATGTGAAGCGTGTCTCTCTATTTTAGCTGTTTAAAGGGTTTTTACTACTCTAGAAACTTTGTGCATGCTTTTATATTTAAAGACACTAAAATCCTTCTCAGATTCAGAGTACAACGCTTTGACCTACTGGTTTTTAAATGTCTTATGGGCGAGTCCTTCATTGCACTACAGAACTTGTTCAATTACATCCTCTATGCAAACATTATAATTATGACAATCTACAGATGTAACTGTATTTCTTGCTACTAGATAGCAGACAAGACTAAAACAATCAAATATTGCCAGATACTGATGAACAACACAAATAGCACAATGAACATCATGCATCATTTTAACAGTGCCATGTTGTGAAGCTCGAGACGACAAAAAATATCTTTAGATATAATCTATATCCATGTATATATTCCCAGTTCCTTTAAACGAATCGATTGGTTATCAAATCTGTTGTTCATTACATGCTTCTGGGTAATGACTAATAATCCAATTGGATATAAGTTCCATCCCTATATTATACCTGTCATCAGACAGGTATAGATGAAGATCTCTTGGTCAATTACAGCATTCTACACTGTTAATCATAGTAGATCCCTGTTGAAAATATAAGACTGCTTCTTTGTACACACAGTTCTGATCATGAACTCTGGAGAGCGTAGGAAAAAGAAGTGTAATTCTTTTGACATCAGCCCGTTGACAATGGCAAAATAGAACAGAAAAATAGTGCGCCTTCAGTCCTGCTCACCTTTTCTCACTTTATGTTTGTGTCTTATGGAGAGATCCATGTGAATAAATTAGCACTAATGAAGCCTTGATCAGCATGTTCTATAGCTGTGATAATAAGACATGCTTATCCCAAGGGTTAAGTTCAATATGTCACATTTTTCTCCCCCCAATAAATTCTTCAGGCTCTGAGAATTATAAATTGAGCTGTGTTGTACTTGTGCTCCTTGGATTAGGTCAAATTGTAACAAATGCAGTTTTCCCTCTGCTACGAGCTTGATTGTTGGTTTACAGCCAAAGTTTACAGCAAGTTGTTCTCATGATGTACCCAGTTTATTTATAGGGGGGTGAAAAAGGAGGGGAAGACATTATTTTATAAATATTATGTTACTCTTTAAAGCTCTGTTCAGTGAGTTCATTTTCAGTAGCTTTATAAAAATGTGTTGACAACTGTTGATACACCGCCATTGAGAGCACTTTATACTAGTTTATATGGTTCTTTGTTGTCAGGCTGTCATAACAGATCTCTGTTAAGATGGCTTTATTGCTACGGATTTATCCTTCTCATAACTCGTATGCTTTTCCTTCTGTCTTGCCTTCTTTGCTCACAGATCAGCCAGATGCTCGGAAATGAGATGAAGTTTGCGGTGCGAGAGCCTGTCGGGCTGAGGTGAGATTTGAACTGCTCAGAAAAGCTCAGTTAACACAACAGACTGTGTGAGGTCATCTCTGTGTCACTTCTAGAGAAGTTCCTCATCTCTAAATCTCTGAATGTACTAGAGACTATGTTGAAATTAATATTGTCTCTTCCGTTACTGATGTTTAGTTCAATTCTTCCTTTTAATTCGAATGTGTCTGTATTTTCATATAAGCTCTCTAGCAGGTGACTTCTTCTGGCCAATAAAAATCCTTCTCTCTAAATCAGCAGTTATGTTTACTGGCTTGCCAGCATTTCATTGGTATGTGCCACATTATTTGCAGATGGGCTGATGTTTGTGAACAGAGTCGATACTACTGGCTGCTACTAAGGTTCAACTGATGCATCCTTAGAGTTGACTATTTGTTGCAGTAAGGATGAATTTGGTAATGTAATGTCTTTCTTCCTAGGATGTGGATGCTAATCTCTGCAGTGGGTTTCACAGTTATGGGCCTGATGGTGAGTTTCCTTTTGAATTACTGAAAAAGTCAATGAATATTCATCAATACAGCTATCAAAAAGAAAGAAAACTCTCATTTTAGAAATAGAAACAATCGTGTTACACAAACGGGGCTGTGAGTTACTGTAGATTCATAGAGTCCATTTCCAGCTTATCAATGAGGGACATCTGGAGAAACAGTACAATCTTTGTCGGCCATACCTCAACGCTCAATATTCTCTCCGTACAAGGCATCCACAGTTGCTCTTATTCACAGGCTGCTGCTTTTTGGGGACAGTTGTGAAGGAAATGATTCTGTTGTGTCGATATGACAGACTTGTGTTGTGCTTTTTTCATTCCCACACAGGCCCTTGTGTTTCCAAACCAGCTATATGAGGTTGTTTTTGAGGAGGAGCTCTCCACGACTAACATCTCTGTCCGTCTATACGGAGGAGCATTGCTCAGTAGGTTTCTACCTTTCTACCTCTAAAGTGCCAAAATATCATGCTCCAATATGCATAGGTTAAGTACATTGTATATGAAGTAGCTATGCATCAGGTAGTATATTTACTATCATGAAACTAATGCTGACACATAACATTTGAATACATACGCTTACAGGCAAAGGCAGTTCAACTGCCCTTATTGTGAAAATGTCTTCTTCTACATTTTCAATGTACACTCACCCTCTGTACAACAAGCTCTCCTCCTGCTGCAAAAGTGTGTGTGTGTATGTGAGACTATGATTGGGGTTGAAACACAGAAAGACGCTGGCTCACTCAATCCTGCCTTAAATTGGGTTCTACACTTACTGATGATTCAGATACCAGGTAATTGTAGCATTTTAAATCTTTTTGCCTTTGTGAGAAGTGTGCCATTACTTTAATGGCTTTTGCGATTTAGGGAGTCAGTCACGAAGGGGGTGATTACAGGGATTTGTGATAATAATAATGTGAGAGGCAAGTATGATGGGATATGATGAAGGGAAAAAACAACGACTGAGGGAAAGTCTTGGCATGTACTTTTACTATTTCGCCAGGGGACTTTTTGTTAAATCAGGTTAATACAGTGTCAGAAAGTCAGCGCCTAGAACGTCTGTAACCACAGCAAAGCAATATCTATCTAAATCCCTATACTTCTGGTCAATTCTACGACGTAGCTAGGAGTGGCTTACATGGTCGTGAGCACTACATACAGCACATGTGCGTTGGTGTGTCTGCGTAGCTCCGTAATACTCAACATACAAACGTTAGCTTGCAGTGCAAATTCTGTGCGAGTTATATTGCAATTTTCCGGTTCTGCCTTATTCTCTGCTTGTTTGTTTAAAGGAAACCATAAAGACTGAAACCGAGAGTGTTATGTTTGAGTTGGAACTGATAAACGTTGTGCAGCAGTTGCTTATACTGCAATTATTGAGAAAAAAGAAAAGAGAGGAGATATCGGAGGGGACGGAATGCACAGCCACTGAAATCAGTTAAGGCAAATGCTGGGATTTTTTTTTTGCAGTCGTTTGACCACTGAGAGATATGGATGAGGAAATGCTCTTAGATATTTTCAGATGACATTTAGTAGATTTGACCAGTTGGTTCATCGTCTGCAGCCTTTTATCTCACACCAGGGTACACACAATATGCACAGGGCGTGCAGTCAGTACATTTTTGAGGAGTTGCTCTACAGGCTATGTACATGGGCACAGGGCTATGCTAACCTAACGGCTTATGTTATGGCACAGATTTGACGCAGAAGTATAAATGAGACTCAACAAATATTTGCAATCTGGTGGTTGAACTTTTAACCAGTGTAAGTGTAAACTGATGTGCCATTGTTTCTTAAACAGATGCATGTTCCCCAAATGAGCCATAACACTTTCTCTATTACAGGTTCTGACTGACAGCAATATTTAAACATCACTTATGCACAAATATAAATATGTATTTATTTTGGGGTAACTTTTTGCTGTGGGCTGTCTCATTTTTTTTACATGTTTAAAACTCGCAAATGGTGTCATCAAAAGGTTGCGAGTGGCTCTAAAAGGTTACAAATGAAAACCTGGCAAACTTTACTGTTGAATCTTGTCATTCATATTCTCGTTCCCCCTACTCACAAGATGTTCATAGCAAGAAGGAATCCCACTGCGCACTGCCTTGTACTCATATCTTGCTAAAAATGTAAAATCTGTTACAAGGAAAAAAAAAACCCTGCTGTATGACTTCTGCACAGCCTGAGGAGAGAAACTGTGTAACCACATGGCACTGTGGAGACGGATATGAAGAAAGCCGCTTTCAATCTCATAAAGCCAGCAAAAGATGGCTTCTTTATTTTAAATGTCAGCAGGGCTGTGGGGATTAGCAGAGAAACAGGATGATGTCTTACAAGACAAGAAGCAGTAAATGGGGCAAAGGATGGGGTCTCATCTGTCACACAGATGGAACCTGGCGGGCTGATGATTCAGTCCATCGGCCCTCCCACCTTTCTTTCCATCCATGCTTACATCCATCTGTGTGTGTGTGTGTGTGTGTGTGTGTGTGTCGGGTGGTTAGCAATGATATTCAGGAATTTAACTGGAAGAATGGCAGGGAATGAAATGACTGCACACAGGCTTTTATCAGAATCAATGAGTCGGAGCATTCAACAGAATCAATAGGCAAATTATCACTGCATGCACATGGCATCAATGATAACGGCTGCAAAAACAAAAACAAAAAAAAACACTCTATAAGTGGATTTGTTTGTGGAAGTGCCCTTGAAAGTTTATCAGTCTTTTCTTGAGCCTCCCCTTTTTTTCTGATTTCATTCCCATGCCCCTGAACCTTTCACTTCCCTTTGAATGCCCTCTTTTCCAGGCCTGGCCCTCATCATGTGGAATGGTCTCTACACAGTAGAGAAAATCATCATCCAGTGGACTCTGCTCAGTGAAGCCTGCTACTTTGCTGTCCAGTTTCTAGGTGATTAAACTTGTAGTTGTTACACCCCCCCCCCCCCCCCCCCCCCCACCCCATTTCGATGGAGACTTTATGTGTAGAATCAAACCATTAGTTTGAAAGTTTCCCAGAGAATTTGAAAATGTTTGTGTTGATACTGCCCTCTTGTGTTATGAGTGTAGGATCACAGCCTTGGATAAATCAAAAGATAGGTTCTCCCTTTTTCAAGTCTGTCTTGCAACACTCTCCTCATATGTAAAAATGAATAATTTTTGTTCCACAACAGACAGTAATGCACATTTAGTAGGGATGCACAGATTTGATATCTTCAGTTCCCCAGCTTTCGTTATCGTTTAATACAAGGAAACAACCAGATACCAATGTACAAAAAAGAAAAAATGTTGTTCAATGCAACATCAACTTTGACTATAATATTGCTTTCCTAACTTGATGGGATCAACATAATGATTACATTTAAAATACTTCAAATAAAGTTCAAATAAAACATGATAAGACTTAATTAACTGGATAAAAACAAAACATTCAAAAACAAAGGATATAAAAAATTCTTAATCAACTCATGCTACAGTTTGAATCCATAAAAAAGAAAACAGGAGCTGACTAACTGGCTCCTTTTTTATGCTGGCAGGTTAGCTCCCTCTTTCTTCCGATGACACTTGTATAAATCTAAACCAGTCTGTCATCTGCAGCAACAAATACATATTTCAATGCACATACTTTTACATAATTTGAGCTTTGTTTCAAGGCCGACCTGAAAATATACAACAATCTTTCAAGATCCACTTTCCAGAGATAAATATCACAAATCAAACACTTTGCATCTTGATTAATTTAAAAATATGTATTCTGGTGTTGAATGTTTTTCTTTGGTTTCAGTGACATCCATCACCTTAATGGAGATTGGCATCCTGCCCAATGCTGCTTTGCTGCTGCTCCTCAGCCGAGTGCTCTTCCTGGTGGTCACCATGGCTTACTACTACCACCTGGGCCGTAAACCCAAGAAGATCTGAGCGGACTGTGCGACACTTCCAGGGAGGGGACATCTGAGTACAGATCACAAACATGGGGTTAGAAGGTTTGGGATATGAATTGATCAGGGTTTGGAGCATTCCTTTTCCAGTGTATGCCCCCCCACCACCACCACCACCACCAACATGGGACCTACCTTATATTAACACCCAGTATTCAATGGATAAGCACAGCGTCACATTCCAGTCTCTACTACCAGAACGACAAAACCTCATAGTGAAAGTGAATTACTCTTTCACTGGGCTGTGAGGTCAAGCCCCTCTTGAGACACATTCCTCTAAGTATACAGAAGAAGCGAGCAGTCTGTTGTGCATTGTGTCACTAGGTTATATGATTTTATTTGAACAGTACAGAGTCATTTCACACATCAGACTGTGTTTTATGTGCACAAAAATGATTTCCAAATTCAGTATTAAGTGTTAGCTGACTATTTATTCTGAATCACACTCAAGGACCATGCTATGTGCTACTCTTTGTTTTCTGCTTGTAGCTGTGGGTGTTAACTCGTACTGTATGTATGCCAAAGTCAAGCCTGAACATCTGTACTCTTGTATGCTTCCCTGACAGTTGTCCAGTGCACACATCGAATGGATAAATGTGTTCAATTCAGGTCCAGTCAGTTAAGCTAAACTTAGCACACAATCCAACTGCTAAAGTTAACTTATACTCAATAATGCCAGATTTAACTTCCCCAACAGCAATTGGTGAATCCAAACATTTTTCTGTGACATGAGTGATTTCTTTCTTTTATTCGTTGAGATATCATTTAAGAAACTTCTACCAAAGTGAATAGGACATGTTTTGTACCGCAAATTTAAGCTACAGAGATTAATACATTTAATGTTGATAAAAGAACATGTACACTGACTTGTAGAAAAGAAGCAGCTTACTTCTGTCCCTGTTGTGTGTACACTGTAAGGCAGGACTTTGACCTGAGCAATCTTACAGAAAGTTTCCAACGTTCTGACCTTTACTGCAAAGCTAGTTTCACAAGCCGAGCATGTCAGTGTGTAGAGCAAACAAACCTGACGATTCTCTTCTGTGATGTAGCACAGTTTCTTTTTTTTTTACAAACACCATATCCGTAGCCTTGCCTTAAAACTACTTAAAGAACACTGCATCCTAATTCTCTTGTATATATGTAAATAATAGTATTTCCTATGACGTGGTGTTCTTGTGGGCCGAACAGGGAACTTGTTCAGTATTAGTTAAATGATTTTCTCTTTCTCTTTCTCTTGGCATGTGTTGGTTTTTTTTGTACCTATTTAAATGAATTTGTGTTTTTGATGTCTTGCATGCGAAATTATCCAGCTAAAGAAATAGCTTCAACTGTGTAGCGAGCTGCCACCATCTAGAACACAAATAGCAATGAATGGTAACATAAACTAGAATTGGTGAAGAGCCCAAACAATTGAACCCTTGATTTAAAAGGCAGTTTACCTCAACATGCTTTGAATCATGTAATCCAACACTCGATAGACTTGCACCAAATTGACATATTAAGTACATTTTCTACCTCCCGATACTAGCCACTCCCCTCAGATACACACATCCAACTTCAAAGGCAGTGCCAGCGGTGATAATTTGTCAACTCTGATTTCTGCGAAACAGGCACAAAGCCTCCTAAAGATAGTTGACCCATTTTGTAAATTTAACTTGAAACACCATTTTGAAACAAGAAACATACTGTAGGTCTCCTCCAAAGGTGGTCCATGATGTCGCAAATGACCACGTTGAGTCCTGCCCTAAAAGGGAGTGGTCCTGAGGTCAGAGTGATTGATGGTTTGCAGTGGGGAGTCCAGTGCTGCAGGCAGATGTGCTTGTTAACTTGGACGATATTTCAGTTCAGATAGGGGACGTGAAACATGGGTGAGGTCTCCTGTACTCCTCAAAGTTGTAATTACCCTTTTTTCCAGTGTTTAATTAGATATAGCTCTCCTGACTGACATTGTGTGCCCCAACCTACTGCTCAGTCCTGACTAGCATAGTAATTATGGAGTTCAAGAGAAATGTCGTTCCATTTCCGTCAATACAGCTAGCCTCAAATCATCAGCCTCACGAAACGTTCAAAGCAGCTTATTTTCGTAGAGATGGGCAGTTTTTTGGGGGGACGTGCAGAGGAAGGGAGGCAAAGAAACAGCTCTTTCATCCTCCTGGTTCTCTGACGTCAAAAAGTCCGAACTTCACATTGGTAACTTGGTAAGTTGAGCTATTTATTCCTACTGCTATAGATCCAACTGCTATGGTGTCCTGTTGTGAATAGCATACAAGGTCAATTTGTTTCAAGTTGTAGCAATGTGTTTTTAATGTATATATGTGCTATATTGTACTTTAGAAAATGAACTGTTATGGATTTCCACCATTTAGAAATAAAGAACACAATTGTTTATTTTGAAGACTTCAAATGTTTTGTTAAAATGTGTGTTCACTTTTCTTTCTGATATATTGGGGATGCAACTAACTTTTATTTTCACTCCAGGTCAATGTTCTGATTATTTGCTCAGGTAATAATTAAATGTTGGGCTTCTAAAATATGAGGAAAGAAGGAGTAAACAAATTTCCAACAATTACAATTTTGTAAAACCCATGATACATTCAAATGTTTATGTTTTTTAGGAGCACTCGTAAACACACGAAAGTAAATACATTAAAAACAGCAAAACCTCACTCTAGTATTAAACAAAAATACTCTTCAAATCTTTAAAATAAACTTTTTTATGGATAATAAAACTTCAAAATGTTTACATGTGATGGCATTTTAAAGGAAAAAACATTAAGCAGCTTCATTGAAATATCTACTGGAATCATATACATTTTAGTGGTTCTGTTTAGGTAAAGGAAAAGTTGAAAAATTAAACATACCGGGAATGAAATACCTTTCATATACATAGGAAATGCTATGGTTGATTTAAGCTTTCCCAGCAGGTACACACATAGTGTAGTTCATGCTAGTCAAGTAGAACAGCCTACTGTAGTAATCGATCAATCTTTATTCATACAGCTCCAATTCTTAACAAACATTATCTCAAGACCGTACTCTTTTTTTTTTTTTTTTATTATTTATTGTGTTATTGTTATAATTTACAAAGACCCAACATGAATCCACTATGAGCACAGCTCTAGCAAAGTTACAGTGGCAAGAAAAAAAGGCCTTAAAGAGGCAGAAACCTCGAGCAGGAGAAGACTCGTGGAACAGCCTTCTGCCGAAACAGTGTTGGGGTTGGAAAGTGGAAATTGTAGTTCCTCTGTACCCTCTTCCTACCTGAAGAAAGTTGAGTCACGACTAAAACTTACCATTCAACAAACCGTCTCATGCCATCAGCCACAAAGCATTACTTAGTTCGAACATGTCTGAACAACAACCAAGAAAAAAAACCCAGATCTGTCATGTAATCCCACCCTTGTTTAGTGTTTTCTGTTTGGCCATGCCGAACATGTCACAACATGAACATTTTCATGGTTAACCAAAACATGTAGTAAAATGAACCTGGTTGGTTTAGTCTACCTCATTTCCCTGGCTAACTTTTACCACCCCCAGTGCTCTCGCTCACATTGCAAGAAGGTAGAAAGAGGTGATTGTGTGGCACAGTAAGTGTGTGAGTGTGTGTGAGTGTGTGTGTGAGTGTGTGTGTGTGCGGTTGAAGGCAAAAAGCTCCCATGTGTCACTGTTTACGCATTCTCCCCATACTTTCCACTTAATAAACTGAGCTCTGGTTCATGTCTCAAAACATGTTGGTAGACGGGATAACAAAGGATCATTTAAAAGGCGGTCTAAATAATTTTGTAATGTTTACCCTGCAGCAGTTTATGATGAAAATAAATAAAACTTGATCATCTCTTGCACTTTGCAGTATGTAATGGTAGACACGTGGCAATATCTGTTTAAAAAAAAACATTTTGTGATAAAAGAAAAAGCCTTGTACGCTTATGGCAACAAGAGATGTTTACCTCAACTTAGCTTATATGTCTTTTCTTTGTTCTTTGTCAACTGAACAATAATAAGTATTCCATGAGTCCTGATATCCAGTAAACAGCACATGGACGTTTTACTATATGTATCTAAATATGTGTATAGTCAGATTCAGGGGTTCTGAATACCATTAATTTACTTAATCCAAACAGTCTGTGTCTGTATCTTGGAACCAAGCAGGCAACCAAAACAACTTCCAATGGAAAAATGTAAACAAATAGATAAACGTACATGGTGGTGACATGTAGACATACAAAAAGTAGCAAGGATAAATTAAGACGTTAATGTTACTTGCAGACAGCTGAAAATTAATTAGAAATCGTGTAAAAAGTAATGTCACACTCAAAGCTGTGCTGTTAAACTGAATATTTGCACAGTTGTTATTATTCTCAACATGTGGCCACACTGCACAAGAAGTTTTTTGGGACCAGAAGGAACAGCTGACTGCACTTAAGTGAGATAAAACAATATGTGACAAAACTATTTTAATTACAGCTGATTATTGTTGGCATCATATTATCTGATGGGGGTCGGTAAAAGTCTGTCTGAAATAAAACTTCAGGGAAGACACGTCTGAGGTCTCTGTGGGAGACTACAGTTGTTGGACTCTTCAGGGCAGGAGGGGGTTAAACATTAAGTGAGCATGTCTGCCGCACGGTGGGGGTGTGACACTTACCCATACACACTCACACACACACATGCACATAGACTGACATACACAGTTCTGGTTTCTCACCAAAGACAGTTTAGTCACACAGCAAGCAGGACAGAAGACCGACTCAACTGGAACCATCTGTGGAGGAGAAGTCAAAGTAAGTTTTAGCGGTTTTTTTGTTGTTGGAAGTTTACGTCGGCCTATCTTACGTCTGCTAACACTATCACAAGATTAACAACGATAATATGTATCATTGGCGCTGTCAGCTTGACTAAAAACGGTACTTTTTAGCCCCAGAAAAAAGCCTTTAGGACAACATTGCTGCTAGACCAGCAAACTGAGAATGTAGTCACTCTTAAGTCACAGCTGTTAGTTTTGTTTGGCTGAAGAGACGTCAGTTTATAGTCGAAGATAACATCGATAAAGTCTGAAATGATTAACCGAACTGAAGTTATTTGTTTTTGTTCACTGTCGTTAAAGTGTTGCAAGTATCATAACTAAGACATAATCATTTGAAAAGTGTTACAATAAGTCGAAAGAAGTCCAAAAAATATGCTCATAATTTGTCAGTGAAAGATACAAAAAACATTAATGTAATAACAGCCGACTAAAAACTACAAACCTGCCTGCATTGGTAACTTGTAACTTCAGTGTAACACAGCTCCTTATTTAACAAAGCCTTGGTTTTGTACAGCTATCTTCTGCATTATCTTCTGGTTTAAGTGTTTGTAGGAGGGCTTCACAGTAAAGGAGTTACCTACTGCAAAGAAGCAGCGACATCCCGTTACCACTGTCATCATCGGTGCAAACTTCAGAGCAATATTGTAGTTAACAAGCAGAAATTCACATCTGGACAGACACACCTAGTAATGCTGGTGCTTCAAAGTCAATGTCTACAGATGTATCAGTTATTTGGATATGAGTTAGGAGATTGTAAGGTTTTCATTTAAGTTCCTTTTTGGGTGGAAATGTTCCAGTGGCCTACATGATGTATCTTGAAGGAAACCACAGCCTCCAATGCTGCTCCGTATGGGCAAAACAAATTGAGCTATAATACATAAAAAAGTGTTTTCAGCATCTATTAGAGGGCTGGTTGGTTGCACTGGAAACACAAGTTACTTTTCTTCTTCTGTGACGTATTCTAGCTGAACAAACATCCCTATTGCTGAGAGCTAATGTTTGAGTAACATCTCCAAAGCCACATCTTCTTCTTTCTGTTTCGTATCACAAGACAAATACTGGTGATACTGGAAAGCTTTTGTTGTCATTTAGCTGTTCGTAACATGATTTTGCTGTCCCTAAGTTTTGGTTAACGACAAAAATGATGGTTATCATGAGCACACATGTGGCAGTAGGAGGTCAAACCAGTTCTGCTCTCATGAGTTATGTTACCACAGATGCGTTGTCATTTCCTTTGAATGGTGGGAAGATATCTGGCAATAAACCTCTGTTAGGGATTTCACATTTTTATGCCGTACACGACGTACATTATTTGAGTTTCCCATCAATGCTAAAAGGGAAATTCCCTCCCTGGCACAGAATTGGTTGAGGCTTACCATCTGATGAAGCAACTTATTTGATGAAACATTTGTCTAGACTCGAGTAAGCATGATCCAAACGGATGAAAAGCATTATAGTCATTTACACCCAATTGCTTTTTTTAGAAATACACGTATGGTCAAGTCGTTAACCATATTGTAACCAAAGTTTGCCTGTTCAGTAAAATGCTAGTAGGCTACATGCTATCTGTACAGAGCTCACACCCACATAGCTGCAGATGTCAGCGCTGGATTCGGACATGGTATTAAGGGCTTTAGTTCGATGATAGTGCAGGCAGGTTCATGCCAGCGTGGTTGCCTCACAGATATGTAAATGGGTCATGTATGTTTATAGTAGGGGGACATGTGGTGGGAGATGGAGTTTGGCAGTTCGCCTGAATTTTTGTGTGCCACAAGGCTATAGTTGATCCATGCTGGGTCCATTACCAACACAGTCGATGCCATCTGCCACTAATGCTGTTTTCATAATCACGTCTGCACCCCATGCATTCTTTGGTGGCTTTTTGTATGATAAACAAAAAAATCTCAATCCAACACCTCCTTTAGACCCCCCCCCACACACACACACACGCACACACATCACACATTGTGCAGAACCACAGAGAGGTACATTTGGGCTGCAAAGGGGAAAAACGTTCTTTATGAGGTCACAGAGTTTTGAAAATCCCAGGTAGTTTTTGTAGCTCTCTGAAGTTTTCTTTTTTTGCTCATGGGTTTTTTTACAGTATAACCCTGAGTTTTCTCTTTTTCTGCTGTCCTATTTCAGACCAACTACAATTTTTGGGATGCTGGCAACACTGTAAACACTGGCTGCTATAAAAGTTTATTATAACACTACTACTTTGAATCTCAGTTTGGCGCTGCTTTGGATTTCCATTCCACTTTTTTTTACCCAAGTTTTTACCTCGGAAAAGATTTGTCATTTTCTGTCAGGGGAGTCCAGTGTGATTGAGTTTGTCAAGATATGTTTTGCGAAGATAAAAAATAAAACACTGTGAGCTCTTATGAAAGCCCTGCAACAAAAAAAAAAAAACAGCACCAAAATGTATTTATGGTCTTGCTGGGCTTTGCTGCTTCAGAATGAATTGGGCTCGCCCCGTTTGCCTGTTTAATTTGTTCTTTGAAGGATAAAATAAGCAACAGTGATTCATTGTTGGAAATTGTTTGCAGATGGACGGGGCTCAATCAACAAACAATGGTTGTCATAACTAA